TCTGCCTTTGAGTCATTCTAGAATCTGCTGGATTGGTCTGAGTGCAAGTGGCATAACGATTCCGTTATCATCCATCTCCATACATGAGATCCACTTTCAATCCAGCCACTTTATATTTTCATATAATGCAACATCCAAGAAGACCATTTATAAAGGCACAAAAGTAGCAATTACTATGCATTAATCAAAGCTGCTATTAAACGCTCAAAGCTATTAAAATGGATGATGAAGATGTAATCAATAAATAAAAGATATACGCAGTGTCCAAGAGCATAAGTGCTGCCTTTTCATTAGCGCTTCCCTCTGCCTTCCTGACTTTGTGTCATTTTAGAGAGAATAAATCATGAGCTGAGCTGCAGGGCTAAAAGTGTATGTGTGTGTGTGTTTGAAGTACATGCTACTGTCGACGATGTCATGGCAAACACAGAGGCAGCGTCAGCGAGGAAAGAGCTCGAGTTGTGAAGCCTGCAGCTTGGCTGTAGGGTTGAGAGAAACACATACATGGATTTATAGAGATGCTAAAACTTGACCAGCTGGGAGTTCAATCTGAGGATTGTGACGATAAAGATGTGACAAACACATCTCATCAGAGGGTTCAAAGAATCACGCAGCGGCTAATGAGACATTAAACGAGAAAGAGCCTCTCTTGAGGAATTGGACCTGTGATTTGTCGATTTGAACTAGAACCAAAAAGCAATAAGGATTGAGTGTCTATAGACTGTATATACAGATAAACAACATGTCTCCACTTCCTCCCCTTGAAAATGCCAAATGATCCTCGATGTAGGCGCCACCATCTTGCTATTATGAGGTCATATAGGAGCCAGAGTGTGCACCTTAGTAATGTCTCAGCTGCCAATCATGACAATTGTCAACCACATTTTTCTAGCATCAGATAAATAACTAAAATCAAACTTACCAGAAAAAGTAACACTGTGTGATAACAACAACTTACAGTGACAGAGATCATCTTTACTTAACGTGTACTTTCACTTTTAGATTCTACCATGTCCCGTTCACTGACATAGAGGTTTATGGATTATACCGTAATAATCATGATTATTTGGTTTAGTTTTCAGGGAGCATTCTTGTCGTCCATCTTTGTTTTAATTTCACAAAAAAATTGTTTGTTGAAAGCGCAATTTCCAGCTGATTTAGATTGTAGTAGTAGTATTTTTTTGAATA